CGATCCGGCCACTGATCCGGCATCTGTGGAGGCGACGGGGGGGGGGGCGAAATTAACAAAAGGGTTATTGGATGCGCAAAAGAATGATGGGTTGCAGGGAAAAGGATGATTGTGTAAAAAGCAAGGCGGGAGGAAAGGAACATTATATAGCAGTCGTATTGGCATCGGAAAATTATTTTTCTCACAAGAGCAAATATACGTACTCATGACAGATAATGAACCTCTGAAATAGGATAGTTGATTTGGTATTCCCTTCAACAGCCTCCTGTATCCGATCGCCTCTCATTTAGTTTCAGTGCTTACTTGAGAACATTATTTTCAAGGAATGTGTTACTGTGGTTACTGCCGTGTTTCGCAGGGGCGGATCCTGAGACAAATTTTGGGAGGGGAAATTAAAAATGTTTTGGTAAAATGTGGCCTGCTACACGCAGATCATTCTATGATACGATTTTATTCATTTCAATGATTATCCGAAAATCATTTTTGTTGGAAAGTTTCGTGACTATTTAAAATGAATAGTAACATTTTTACTAACAACGACACTAAAACGAATTGTTCTGAAACACTGAGTGAATTTTTGCAACGTGTCTCAACCCATAAACCCTGATCCCGGAGAAAATCCAGAAAGAAATTACCTGAAGGAAAGCTGCAGACAGAGGCACTCAAACTGAAGAATATGACAGTTGATATACAATAAGGACTGTAATGAAGAAAAAAAACGACTAATCCGAAAGGACGTGGCGTGAGAATAGAGAGGATGAAAATAGAGAAGAAGACCGCGACGATAAATGTGGAGACAGTCGAGAAAACGAGAATAAGGGAGAGATAGCTGAGCGCACACAAGGGACCCTCAGTTACCAGATTCGGACGTAATGAACAGACAGGAAAACGCTGCTACTTCAACTCCCGAGCGAGCTGGCTCACAGAGAGAAATTATTTTACCTGCTGTTTAAATTCTCTTTCTCTACGTACAACGTTATTAAACAGACTTACGTTATTCAAGGTTGGAACAAATTAATGGTTATTTTTATCTCACCATTAATTCACGAAAAGATAATTTAAATAAAAAAGAAGATTTATTTAATCAATTTCTTATAGCAATCATTTTAATTCATGGGAAAACGTTTGTTCATCGTCATAAAAAATGGAAAAACAACATTCAAAATTTCCAATAACTGAATTAGTTCTTATGAAAATATTCATTATTGTTCGCAGCTACTTATCCTTACCTTTACAATCCGTATGGTTCTCCCACGATATTGTTCTCATTTTTAGCTACCAGGAGAAAAAATCTGTTGCAAAACTGATGAAAACGTGTATTTTCATCAGCGTTTGACGAGTCGTGGGAAACGCCACCACAACACTTTCGGCGATTTCCTATTAAGCTCCACGCTGCCAGGCACTCTCGCCCAGGTTGTTTTTCTCGTTTCTCGTGGGCGTCAGCCGCGGTGCCCAACGGCGCATGCCATTTGGGGAGAGGGAATTCCCAGCACGCCAAATGTAACGACGCTCGATCGCAATCAGCGATATCTACAGCGGACCTAAAGCGGTTTGATTTACTAAGAGGGTTTGCAAGAGGCAATTGCAAGAAAACACATCGCATGAAACAAGATGTCCGATTGTGTTTGGGCCCTGTATATTTAGCACCATGAATTATGTCTGAATGATGCAATATTATTAATTACGAAACGACATCAGTTATCGAGATATAATAGAATACTTAATATATAAAGTAACTTTACATAACACAACCTAAGCATTACATTCGTTAATTCTTTGATTTTGGATTGAGGATTAAAGTTTACGCCGTTAGGGAGTTAAGAGCTTCCTAAAATCCATAACCTCATTCTGACATTGGCTTTCATGGTGCAACAAATATGAAAGAAAGCAATGTATTTCCAGGTATTCGTACCTGGAGAATGCACCGAGGAGAACCCTGTATATAGTTTTTGAGGTTAGCCAGAACCTGTTTTCAGAAGAAAATACTGAATTGTCCAATAAGTGAGCAAATCCTTAACGTTTCTCAACGTGAACTGAAAACAGCTGTGAAACGCCCTACGACAGGATTGACAAATCAATTTCAATTGTTTTTTCAAGCTTGCAAGTTGCCGAAACTTGTTGTTACCACTCATCATTACAATCCTTATATACAAATTATAAATTTTGTTTGACAATTAAATCAGTGTTTCTCTTCATTATACTTCATTGGAAAACTGAACTGTCATGGAGGTATCGCATGCATATCTGAAACGCCAATGTGACATGATCGTCAAACAATGAAACCACACAGACGTTTCATTTGTAACAATCTATTTATCACGACCAAGTCCAATCTCCTCGTCTTGTTCCCCCCCCCCCTTGTTCGGCGTCTCTTTCGGCGCGCGGCGCGGCACCACAGAGCAAGGGAATCCCCAGCCCCGAGCGTCGGTGACTTGTTCTCGATCGCGAGCGCCGATATCGAAGTTCGCGCCGCGCCGCAGGTCGATTTACGAGCGCGATACGGCCAGACGTAGTTAACACGGAGCGCGAGCGCCGTAGACTCCGGCACGCGGCGCGTGGCTCGCTTGTTCCGCCGCGGTGCATCCTGGGCCACGGCGTCGACCCTGGGACGCCATGTTCTCACCGCAGGGCCGCAACGAGCTCGTTTTTTGGCAGTGAAGGCTCGTGCCGCTTGTAGCACTTTGCATTAAAAGTGAAAATTTCTCTCTTAGTATATTTTAAATACGTATACAAATAGTCATTAAATGCAGTAAATCACAACATAATATTAACAAAAACAAATTCCTTCATCGTTTTGGCACCAGAAGCCTACATTTCCGTACAATATTGCTGTTTCATTTTTTGTATTATTCCAAAGACGTTGCAGCCTGTATCACGTAGGAACTTGGTGGGCATTTCGAAGACTGGAAGAGCTTTGGTAGAATCGGGAGATCGTTGGCGTGATTTCCGCGCAGCGAGTGCATTGCATTTCTGATGATCGGCTAGCGGGCTATGGTGTTCTCAGCCAAAGGTCGGACGAAATAGCAGGTAGGCACGCGATATAGGTTATCGTAATAATCCCCAAAATCCTACAAATTTATAATTGTACGTTTTTTGTCCTTTTCATTACAAATAAGGTAATTTTTATAAACAAAAGGCATCTTATCGATTCATACGCGGTAAATCATTTTCGGGGTAAAAAACACACATCACGTTCCTTCTAATATTTTATATAATTGCTTTGCCGCGTTAGCATAAAAAGTAAAGATTTTCGTGGATGTTGTTTGGTAACTTTTACAATTCCGTCGCAGCTTCTATATATTCTCGGAATTTTATAAAGATTCAAAATATTCAAAGCGCTAATGTGGATTTGGATTGTCATTAGCGTCATTTGTGATCAGTGAGTGTACAGCAAATTCCGGCTGGCAATCGAAGGTTCTAACAGCGTAACACACGATAAAGGATGAGAAATAGAGTTTTGAATTTCATCGTAGTTTACCATAAGCTTCAAAATAGTTATAAATTTGCTGCACTGGTCTAAATGTTGTTCTAAGAAACATCATTCGTATCAAACCTACGTATCAGACAAATAATTGACTACCGTTTGTCCTCCATAATCCTGTTATTACGGTTAACGGTGCCATATTTGTATCCAACAGTTGTAACCGAATATCGCGTTTGCTCGAGCTGCCGTCTGTCTTTTGGCTGACTATTTTGGTCAAATGCTCTCTTGTCACGGTCTGAGAAGCAAACAACGTACAATATATACAAATGGGCACAGCGTTGTCTACGATGTAGTAAATGTATTCGAGTGTTTTAGTAGTAGTTTAGTAGTTGTAGTAGATGTACATTTTGTTTTTAGATGAGAAAACAGGAGGGAAATATTTAACAGGTTTCAATATCTAGGCCACTACATAGTGAAGGACACTGCGATATATCGTAAACAATCTGTAGCAAAACAAATTTATTTAATAAGACAGTGCATGCTTTCAATGCACTAATTTCGACGATAACAAGCACGGAAAATGACCAAAGAGTGTAATGTTTCTTTCAATGTTATTGCTTCAACTCAGTCTACGTTTATTTACTCCACGAAGCTATAAAACACGAGACGGTGGCTAATGCCTAAAAAAGATCAGTGTCGTAAAATCACGAGAAGTAAAATTTAGCTCAGAAGAGTTGACTCATCGGGATGAAGCAACGACGCCATGCCCAATATGGGCCGTCTCACGAAAGGGGGCTCAAGGACTAGCGATTCGTAGAAAGAACAAATCACTACCTCACAGAAGATCTCGATGTCCACCATCAGTTGGAAGGACCTCCTACGCCAAGTGGACAACTCCAAAAGTGTGCCGTTACGAAACATCGGGTTCTTAACTTCCCAAAGATCCACCAAAACACGACTGACCACTAGGCACAGAACATACATCAGCATCCCAAAACAGGAGTTTGTGGGAGCGTATAAACAGTTAAAGCATTTACTCACAAACACAGAAACAAGAGAGCAAACACGTGTAAATAAACTGTTGGATTTACCTTGTTCTCGCATGCTTTGTGGCAGACGAACTTGCACACTGTAAAAAGAAGAAAGAAAACACGTTAGTACACGAATTGAATGGTGGAGTTTGTCAAGCAGAGATCTCTAAATGCAAACAGAAAAGTTTGAAAACTCATATCAATAATTGGTTTATATATTACATACATCTTAAACACGTTTTATTTATTTAGTTGTTTATTATGATTCCGGAAAATGAGTTGAGTGGTTTAACCAGGGATGGTGAATGAAATAAATGTTACGAGATCATTGTCGAAAATGTTTACTGGGAAATCGTACACTCTGATTCTAAAAAGACAGACTTCATAAAATTTAGAGAAATACGCAATGTGCATAAAACAGAGGCCCTGTAAAAGAATCCATTACAAAGTGCTAATGTTATAGAGTTTAAGTACCCAAGACAGTAGGTGGAAAATAAAAATGGTTTAGAAAGTAAAGAAACCGTTTAATAAGCAAAATGATTTGATGTGAACAATAATCGAATAATCACATGCATTGATGCGCAGAAATACGAGTATATTAGTCTGTTAACTGCTGAATGATACTACGGCCAGAGAACACAACAGCACTGCTCCCACTGGGCATTTATCTACGTTTGACTCGTAATATTAAAGACTTATATCTACACATTATTACATGTCTCCACATAATTTTTATTTTTCCCGCTTAAAAAGAAACTTCTTACGAAGAAAGGTAAGAAATTTTGCGCAAAAAAACGGCGAAGTTTCGGCAGAAAAACTCTAATACAGGTCCCTGGTAACAAGGAAGTAGATAAATCAAGTTGCTAAATTCAGGAAAGAATAGCTTTTAACACGTGATGTAGACACAATCCCAGTTTTGTGGGACCTTGATACCGAAAAATCCATTGACGGCAAAACGCCTGTCCGTCTGTGAACAACGCTAGCGGCTAAACTACTCAGCCGAGTTTCTCCAAAACTGATATTCCCAGATCCATCTGACTGATGTCGCGGCCCTTTGAATTTGAAACCGAAATTTAAATTTTCGACTATACTTTACATGAAAACATGAAATTTTTCAATTTTTTTGTAAAAATTGCATAATCGGTTTTGATTATACTTTGTTGGTAGAGAGTCTGAAGAATGTGTAAGAGAATGGCGCAGGTCTCATGTTGAATAAAAACAGTAATTTTCCAAAATTGAAAAAAAAATGTCAGCGTTTTCCTACAGCTAAATAAAATATGTTCCTTAAAAATTGATTTTAAAATCAAGTCATGTAGAATTTTTCGAAAATATGAATATTTTTCTCGTGATTTTGCGTTATGCAATTTTAATTTTTGTTTAAACAATTTTTTCTCAATAACGGATCCACCTTTTTTGATGAAATTTTGTTGATGGATAGTCTGAAAGACAAGAATATGGTTCAGGATTTATGTAAATTAAAAATGTAATTTCTTTGAAAATTAAAAATATCAAAATTTTTTCAGCCTCTTCCTACAACTACAATTATGAAGATAATTGTTTTTCTTAATGAAATGTATTCATAAAAACAGATCTACAAATAAGGTCATATTGAAATTTACGAAAATGAGTATTTTTGGACTAATTTGGCGTCAAACATAGACGCCCGCTTTTCATTTCCTGAGTTACGTAAACGTAAATTTAGGGGTGTTTTGAAGCCGCTAGATGCTACGTAAGTTAGAATTTGTAAATTATTTCATATTTTTTGTTCGTTTCTTTTTCGAGCTTTTGTTATGTTTTAATATTAATATTTTAGAAATTAATTAAATCTGTTTTAAATTGCGTCCTTTAATTAAATTAAATGTGAAAATGAATAGATAATTTCGCTTTTCTTAATAACATGTGGCGATGAAAAGTAAAGCATGTAAAAAGCAAGTAATTTTGAATATAAAACTATTCTATTTTTCTACCTTTTTTCATTTTCTTCCTAGCGGTGTCAACGATGCTAATTGGCAAATGCGTATCCCATACGAATTAGTGATCATTATTGCTTGTAACCCATTATTGTAATGCCGCACAGATAAGAGACGGCGACAATGACTGCTGCCTTTTCTTTCGAGTTAATATAAACTAATAAAATACGCATCGCGCATCGTTGGTACGTTTATGAAGAACGAGAATACACTGAATTCAATTGCAGAAAGCTCTTTTCGTTCTTTAAGAATTTTTTAAATAATTGTTAAAATGTGAGGCAAAATGTCATATAAAAATATTACAGAGCCATTAACAATATCGCGAAAAAGTATGCGTTGTTGTAGCACCACTAGATTTCATTTTTAAGGAATAAATTATTTAAGCATTCCAATTTATTTTATAGTTTCACTTCTATTAGCATTGAAACACGGTAATGAGAAACAACAACAACAACAACAACAATAATAATAATAATAATAATAATAATAATAATAATAAAATAAGCGATGTGGCTCAATGCGTAGCGCATGAAGGCGGGAGAGGTTCGACCTCGGGGAGGAATCCTATCCTGACTGAGCATTAATGTTAAGTCACCTCAGATACTAAAATATTTCTTTTGAAAACGCAGGGCCTTGCGTTTCTTTAAATCGGCGGGGGAATGTCAATTTTGGAGAAAATCGGTTGAACAGGTTAGGTGCTACCGTTGACAGCGCAGAGACGCCAGACCGAGACGTTTGCCGACACGCAATTTTTCGGCATCAGGGACTCACAAAACATTGACAATAACTTCACAACGTGAAAAGGAGGAAGAAATTTACTACATAAAGGAAAAAGATTTAACCGCGTTTTCGTTACCTTTTGGTAATAAGAATTTTTCTTATTGCCACTTTCCTGTGCACGATTACATTAATATTCTCTTCTTATAAAGGAATGTGAGAAAGTAAAATCAACGAGAAAGAGCGGGAACGGGCGAGAGAACCCCCGACCGTCCCAACCAAGCCTTGGACAGGCGCTTGTTTGGCCTGAAGAAGCTGAATGCAGCGAGTGCAAGCGCAGCCAGCGACCGGAAACGGAGGCGGCGCGGGCGGCGGCGGGCCTCGAACGGCAGACCGGCGATCCGCCGCTGAGCAGGAAGTGCGCGCCGGCTGCGGGGCTGGAGCGCCACGAAGCGGCGTGCCTATTCTGCAGTTTGCGGTCAGAGGCCCCACACGCAGCCCGCACCCGGCAGCGGCCCCGCACCCGCCCCTCCCGCACCCACCCGCCCCCCCCGCCGTGCCACGCTCACCCTCGCCCCGTCGCGCCCGCCCGCCCAACATTATTTATTATTAATTTTGTATTAATAATAAATAAATTATTATTGGTATTATTACTGTTATCATCATTATTATTATCGTTGTTTTAACTGCTGTTTTATTGTTTCTATGATTATTATTGTACCATTATTATTATATAATTTGCGTGTTAACTGTATTATCTTATTTATGTAATTAGCTGCCACCGGTTTATGCCCATTTGCAGTTCAAATAAATTTATCTTATCTTTATCTTCACATCATAGGACATTTTATTACTTGTTATCAGCTTACACTCCCTCCCTTCAATTAAATATTCGAATGCCTTTTGGCGCTCTAGAAAGCCTAGACCCTACCCTATACTCCGTAGCTTTGCAGTGATACGTAAGCTCATTGCCGATGAGATCTGCCTCCTGCCGTAATATTCCTGATAATCCCGGAATGGCGTTTAAACCTTGTTACGTGTAGTTTGGTGGCGACCATGTGGTGTTCGCGTAGCATACCACAGCCCATTACAAAGCATATTCCCTGTAGCGTAAATTCAGTCACACACGTTCTCCATACACGCATTTCAGGCGGGGCAGGCGATAACTACGAAGGAATAGGCTCTTGAATGATTCATTGATTAGTGTTTGCGGGCGCGTGAACTGCTAGGGTCATTCATCTCGTAGGTGTTGAGCATGTTTTTTTTTATCGCGACACGTGGTGGTGATTCCGATTCCTCACTGGTCGGCGACATTGTGCGCCGACGTTCACGTCAATTTAAGGGGTTTTCTTCAACCTGGTATATCCCACCAGCAGGATACCGCCCCAGACAGTACAAGCGGTAAGCCCCCGACTGATTTCTCGACATCTGTGGTCGTGCCGTACATGTACGTGTGTATATGTGCGTGTGTGTGTGTGTGTAAGTTGTGAAAACAGAACAATGAAGAAGAAGGAAAGATCGCGAACGGTGAGTGACCCGTTCATTGTCTGCTCCATCTTTCGCTATATGTTCATCTAAGAACCTATGGAAAGCTACCGATCAGAGAAGCCGACCGCTAGAATACTCCTCCAGACAGCGGCTGAGTGCGACGTAGCTATCTAGAAAGTGTCGAATACCCTGCAATCATCAGGACTTGAACCCTGGGGCTTCATGGTCAAAAGCTTTGCGGTAACAATTGACAACCTGCGCAATCTAGATTGGTAATAGGATCTTTACAATTTATACAGGTGGGTAGGATAGACAACATGACATAACAGTAAAGTAAACATTTATCCTCAAGGCCGAACTCGAACCACTACGATACGGAAACCAGTAGATTACATATTTAAGAATAAAGTCTTGAATTACATTGTCAAAAAAAGACGTTTTTTTGACTTTCTCTTTCTTATTCTTTGGAAGTTTTTGCTGCAACTATATATAAATTTAATTAAAATACAGCAGAAAAATTACATTACATTACTTAAAACGCGTCGCAGTATACGAATAACAACAAACACGCTCGGTTGAATAACACCTTTTACGATAGGAATTACTATAAACCGCTTCTTCTATTCATGTATTCAGAACAAAATCTACAGAGGGGGTGTCTACCCGTGCAACCCGGTGGCAATAAAACACCATTTCAAGTGATACGAATCTGCAGTCACCTCCGCGCAGGCAAAAGGAACACGTGTCCGCGTGTGGAGTCTCCGAAGCGGAACATGATCTCGTCAGAAGCAGCGGAGTAAAAAGGGGCGAGAACGGAAGCAAAGCGCGATGCACTTACAACCGACGCCTCCGCAGTCGTTTTTGTCGGGCGCCGCTACCACCGCAGCCGGGATAGGATTCCACAGGAAGAACCCGCAAAAAGCAGTCAAAGAGTTTTTGTTCGTTACGGAATGGAATTCTCGGATTCCGCAGCGTGAACTTCGATTTTAGTGATAAAGTGGTAATGGCGAGTAAACAAGAAAAGATTCAGCGGTGAACGCCACATCTCGAGGTGTTCTTTTCCTCCCGTTGTACTATACATCGTGAGGTGTTGGAGGTAATACAGGATACACTTTTACAAGTTTCAACCCGTTAGGTAAATCTGGAAAACAACCGCCGCCATGTACATTAAATAATTTCGTTTTGTAACTGGGGCAATACCTGTCCCTGAATTTCAACTTTAATATAACATAAAAAAATATATTTTTTAAAATGATACTATGACATCTACACGACTATTTCTCAAATAATTTTTCAGATACTTTTCAGGAATGATTTTTACGACCCACGGGGAATTTCAGTTTTCATCTTTTTTCGTTCGTTTGTTTATGTATAGTTAGGGTTTAACCTAGTCCATTTCAGCTTAAATCGCAAATAAGCGTATTAATGTTCACAATACATAAAATGGGTGGACAAATTCCGAAGTAGTGACAGTCTCGATGCATACTTCAGATTTAAGTGAGATAAAATGGTCATTAACTAACTGCAGTAGGTAAAGTATGTTACAATGTCGCGGAGTAGCAGATGTAATGTGCTAGGTTATATAAATCGGTGCTAGAGGTAACTATATAAGACCAGTAACAGACTAGATATATATAGTTTAGATTTCTATCATTAGCCGCATATTTCTATTTACTTGTTACTCTAATTTATGTCTAATCTAACCTCATTCTACATCTCAGTTGACGCTTCGCTACGTATTATGTCGTTGGCGCGCAGACTTGGTCCTTTGACCCTCGCGATTTTGGTAAAACACACTTGTGTCTGTGCAACGCATAATTGCGATAAAGCGTGAGATAATCTTTAGTTAACACAATGGACCGGTACATTATATGTGCATTATTATCAAATTGGTTCAAATTTAATTTAAGCTTCATTATTTGATCAACAATACATCTTTTAGCTAAGGAAAAAGGGCTGTTATAAAAACTACCAAAGAAAAAATGTAATGTAACTGTTATAAAATAGCCTTATACAAAAGCTTTTACACGAATACACCGATAACTTTTCTATGCACACTCACAAAAATAACGATTTCGATCAATGAGTTTTTAATTTTTAATTGATTGATACTTTTATTTTACGACTCAAGAAAGTAAGTTAGAAAAGATACTCACCTCTGCAGCAGCTGCCCTGTTGGTGGATAGGCTGATGACACAGGTTGCATGGTCGGGGTCTCTTGAAGACTTTGCAGCGGAAGGTATGGCTTTGTGAGTCCGCATCCGGCTGCAAATAAACAAAAAAATAACATCAGCGATCAATTCCAATGCGTCATTCCAAGTTAAAAACAATCGAGATGTTGAGAGGCGACCTACGCACCGATAAAAACGCCATGACGCCAACTACATTACGTGACAGTGATGACACTGGAAGCGAGCTTTCTGTAACTTTTCGTCAGTTTACTATACGGTTACTGTTTCTTAAATAAACGATTCCTTCTCCTTCATTATTAACACATCTCACAGTATTAATCTTTCTCTACTCGCACTCCTCTTTATCACGTAACTTCTCTCGCGGTGTACTAAAAGAGCCAACAAAGGAACAATAACTGCGATAAATTAGTGATATTTATTGAAAAAAATGATAACTTATCCGGATAAAACTATGTTTGGTTTAATTGTATGGTACATGTGAAATTTACAATGTGAAATGAATTGCGTATCTCTAATAAGCCGGCGTAGTACATACTGATGATGATGATGATTATGATTCCAAGAGCCTTTAGCTCTCTCCTCTAAGAAACCTATGATACTTTTGAAACAAAATGTGGTGTTTGATAATTTTATATACTAAGGAAAGCGAATTCATATATGAACTGGTGACTGAAATATAAACTGTAAGTCGACAAATAAAATATATTTTATATTCAGCGTAAGTGAAAACAAAATTAAAAGGAAGTACTAAATCGGATTGACACTATCTTAGCGTACACCCTGAAAAAATCCTGGATGCTTCTCTACTCAAATGTCATCTGAAGCTACCAGTGTTTTGTTTCTATTGATCGCAACGGACGTCTAACTAAAATCCTTTAAGAACACCAGTGCTTAAAAATGGCTTTCTTACCTCTATTTGGTTGCAAATGTTCTAAACGGATCAGAATCGTGACCATGGCGACCACGCTGCAATTCGCGCGTAGGGACAGCGCTTGACTTGGAACGAATTCGTTCAGCGGTTCATTGTTATTTGTAGTGTGAAATAACGCACGGCTAACAAATTATCTTTCAGACATTAGGCAAGCTGCGTTTATTATTAGCAATTAGTAAAATTTCAAGTATCTATTGACAACAGACATATCAAAGTATTGTTTCAGTAAATGCCATTGCTACAGCTACATTATTAAAATTGAAGTGTTTATTTGTGTTTTCAAAATACCTGCCTCTTGATAGGTCAAGGATTTTACAAAAACCCACACAATTGTTTTTCTTCTACGTATCAGACCGAGCTACTTTCCGAATGGATACTCCTTTTTAATACAATTTTTTTACTGGAAAGTAAAGTATTGTGTAGAAGATAAGTTGGGATGCTGGTTTCATTTCATTATTTTCTATACAAATGTAAATAAAAGAAACTGTGTAACAACTAGTTCATCCTAATTACTTTTCTCACGATAACGTCTTTCAAACAGGATGATTTTTGATCATGGTAGATCATGGCCAAAGATCTTTTCTTACGATGGTCGGCCACGACTGAACGGGATTATTAATCCAATTTAGTTTTTATTACTGGGAGTAAATCATGAGTTTGCAACTATGTAGATCATACTGTTTACCTCTGACAGTAGATGATTAAGAGAACATTGCAGAAGGGAAAAGATAGACTAGAGCTTGATGTAAAAGAATTAAGTGATATGAAAATTTCTCGCGATTCCGCAATCAAATTAGAAAACATAGTCTAGAAAACGGATGGCAAATAAATGACCCGTTGAACTGTCTCTGATATATAATTCCATTTACATTTTCACACAATAACAATTGTTAAAGATAATTAATATCTTACGTTGGTTGTAATATCTGGTTAACTCTGCACCCAAATTCACACAATCATTTAATTTTATTTTCATGATAGGTAGGCACCCCACGCAACGCTGTTCATTTAACTACAACAATAAAACACTTCCAAGAGAAATCTTTCACGATAGGCGGGGTGGGGATAGTCAGAATTAATTTTTTTTCAAGCATATAGATAACTTTGAAAATAAATACCAGACCCCGCGAAGTATTTAAGTTAGTCTTCAGTAAAGGAAATCACGTTCACCCAATACTTGCAGATTATATGATAAATAGAAAAAAGTTAAAGTATTGTGTTCTTCAATACTGTTTATCTTTCGTCAAGCATGGAACAGGTTTCATATTACCTACTTATTTTTTTCGCTAGCTACAATTATCAGTTAATAGATAAGATAATTCAAAGATAATTCAACTGTCCAGAAAATTGGTAAAACTTAAAACCACCACATTTTTTAATTATTTAAATGAAATTACTGGGATTAAAATATCCCAAAATAAGTCCGTTAAAAGAACTCTGCGTGGCAAAAAAGGAAAAACGGATAAGAAAATTTTAAAATGGTGATGAATTACAATATAGCTGATTGTAATAGGAATATTGGATGTCTGTTTTTGACCACGCCACAGCCATCGGGTTAGAACATTTATGACAGGGAATCAAACCCTTATCCTTACACAGAGTAGTTCCAGCTATTATTTTTCTCAGTATAAAAACTGCACAAGGTATAACTCATTGAAGAATAGTCATCATCCGAGTCAAAGTTTCTGAAATAACAATTACGCCAATAACCAAAATTACGTTAGGAAAATCAGATATAGGTGTTCTCCAAATGAACCAAAGAGCTCATCTCATACACTTTTTTCACGCTACATTTACAAATGAATGCCAATATCTTAAGAAGGAATTCAAAAATAGAATATTGCTTTTACCGCAAATCGGTTGCTTACACTATTCAGATCGGTATACACTCTACTCGAATTGGCGATAGGTGAGGTCCCAATCTTGACACGGAATTGGTGAAGATTTACAAAAATCAAAACGAACACGGAGTACATGAAATAGGGGTGTCCAAAAGACGTCCTATTTACATTAACAATATTAAAATAACCACTATTGCTTGTAACGGTATGGTAACTGTGAAGATAACACGATATGATGATGATAGGGGATAGGGGGTGATAGGACGAACACAATATAACCATGCGCGAGCGAAGGGGACTCGAATCCGCGATCCTTCGGTCCGAGATCGCTGAGGCACTATTGCCGTAGCGATCTCAGCCACCGAATCTGCAATTCCCATTTTTATATTGCATTTTAACTCAAATTTCCAGAATGGTAAAAGGGGTAATGGAGTATAATTCCGAACCTTTTTTACAGGGAGAGTCTTGGGAGACTCCAAAGGGTGAGGTGTGGCGGAATCAATATTGCCAACACCTTTTCTTTTGTTATTAGATGGTACCAACTTCACCAACGATATTATCAACAATGTTGGCTTTAAATTTGAAATATGTCTCCCGTGAAATATTTCGTGAATTGGCCCATCAGAGAAGGGCGTTTCGAACACTGTTGAACTCAGTTAGGTAGGCCAAACATTTCTACTTAATTACGAGTGCCTTTCAACACACCACCTGACAAACATTAGTCACCACAGGATAATTAGCTTGACGAGTAATCATTGAATCGACACCAACAGGAATCTTAGAGCGTATCTTAGAGCGTATCCCGAATAGAAATGATACCTGGAGAGCGTATAAGTCGGTGAAGGATTTCACGTTCTCGCGGGGGCGGTACATCGTCATTTCCGGTACATAACATTCACTATTACCAAATTAGTTGGCATGCCGGGAAACAAGAAATATGCATGCATTCATTCATTCGTACACCTACCTATGTCATCTCATTCATTCATTTTCCTACCAATGTCATGCCACCTCACTCACCTACGTCACCTCACTCACACACTTACTCATTCGAATGAATTCCATACATATTTCATAGACGACCCTTTAGCAAACATCAATTAGGTCACAAAAAATATCTACACGCGCGTTCGTTGCATCGAACATCTCCCTTCATTGTATTTGTTTGCTGTAGTTTTTGTTTTTCTTCCGCGCGCGCAGTCACCGTCCGCGCAACGCGCACCAGCACCCTTGTTCAGCGTCGTCCTGCCTTGCTGCGCGGGCAATTGCAGGTGAGAGACGCGAGCGGCGGCGGCGGCAGGGCTTGTAAACTGCATCTTTACGACGCACGCGGACACGCGTGTTCCGAAGCGGCTTTGATTCCCGCGCCGCCGACCAACAGGCAACAAGGCGCCAACGACTCCGAAGACACAGATTGCCCTTGCATGTCGGCTGCGTGTCGACAGCAATCTGCAGCGGCTGGCGAATCGCTCTTGTTCTATTTTCGTAAGTGATTTCATCTTCAAAGATTTCTCTTGGGAGGGTTTTATTGCCGTAATTAAATGAACGGCGTTGGGTCGGGGTGTAATACAGTGCCTACGGAACCGATCATGAAAATTAAATTAAATGATTGTGTGAATTTGGATGCAGAATTAATCTGACGTTACAACCAACTTCAGACATGAATTATCTTCTACAATTATTATTTTGTTCAAGTGTAATCAAAATTATATTTTGGAGAAAGTTCAACAACTCATTTATTTGCCATCCATATTGAAGGCTACTCTGACAGATTTTTCTAAATTGATTTCGGAATCGCGACAAATTTTCATCTCAATCAGTTGTTCGCTTTTTATCTTTAAATTATGGTCTACTTGGAATTGTAAGTCATTTATTTTATCTGCCACTGCCAAAAGACATAGCCATAAACTAAATCCTGAAGATTAAGAAGGGGTGTTATTTTTTATTTATTTATTAATGTCTTTCTATTTTAGAGGGTCTTTGCTCACGTAGTCTTCCTCCATTGACTACATGAATGTTGCTGTGCATTCAAATTTCCTTCATTACATCGTGTATCACTCTTATAAAATCTCAACATTAAATCGCCCAATCACGTACGAAGTAAAAAAAGTACGATCGCATCTAAGAGGGCGGGTTCTGGTGAAGATGAAAGATGACAGTTCTAGCAACATTTTAGTGATATTAATTATATTAACAAGTTTAAACTTAAAAAACATATTCTGCGCTCTAATAAAATACATAAAACGTTTTCAAAACTGTGTAAAATTTCATTCAATTTCCAATAAAACCATTTTTCTACCATATTCATTTGTATTTAAAGAGGCGGCAGTTCAAAATAGATTGTTAATAAGGTTCTTTCCTTCGTAACTTAGTTGGATAATTTTCTATATTAGGTTTCTATTGTTTAATTTAACATTTGTAATACTTTTACTTCTGTATAACGTATTTTGGCTATTATTCCATATCTCAATTTTATTTTAGTTAAAAGCTTACTTGAACTGCACCCGAGCACACGTAATTGCGCAATAGGGTGCATCTGCTATGGTTGTTAACTTACGTCAAAATGTTTAATATGTATTGTGCGCCAGGGAAGTCTCTCCACAGTGGCACATGACTGGTTAGAGTGCTGCCAACACAAATTATGTTGGTAGCATCAGCTGCGGAATGTAACCAAAGAAAACGAAAATGACGTACTCACCACAAAAATAACAGATGCTGGAAGTGGTGTCCCTTTCCCTTAGCACAGTAACCTGGTTGCCACCAGCGTAGTTACAATATTTAACAAGAGACACTTACTCGGTGTGGAGAGACTTTCCTGGCCCATTGTATTATTACTATTGTTATTAAAATTATTATTATTATTATTATTATTATTATTATTAATTATTATCAGACAAATACAACCATGCCTAAGCAGGACTGGAACCTGCAGCCTCCTCGGCGCAGATGGCGGCTGCGTCAACCGTCTGCGCCATTTGGCCGACATTCATTATTATTATTATTATTATTATTATTATTATTATTATTATTATTATTATTATTATTATTATTGTCATTGTTATTGTTCATATTCTCACCAATAATATTATTTTCTCCTGCTAATATTAGTAAGTGTTAAAAGTCGTTAGAAAGCGAGGTGTTTTAGAAAGCAAAATTTTGGGAAATTTGCGTTTCCGAATGGGCACGAGCTGCGCTCACCGCGTCGCTCTCCTTGCACGAGCTGGCGACGCTCTCCCAGGAGGCAGCTCGCCTCAGAGGCCCAGGGCACGGCTGCATGGCGGCGACCTCAGCGCGCACGTGGGCGCATCACGTGGACCAGCAGCTCCTCCCCTCCCCTCCCCACTCCACTCCACTCGCTCTTCCTCTACGCCCCGGCAACACGCGACGACCACCCGTCGGCTATCGGGCCCAGGGATCCTCCTCGTAAATCACGAATCGCCCGAGTTCGTTTATCCTCCTCCGAAGCAACCCCGAACAGAGCGGATTTCGTTATAAAAATCCCTTAAAAGATCGAGAGGTTAATGACTTCTAATTTTTTAAACACAGTGTTGGAACGTTCCCCTCTTGGGCTGAGAAATTGTCGTTTCAAACAAGTCGGCGTGTAATAGGGGACTCTCCGTTATTTTTGTGGCGCATTAATTTTCTACGGATCCCATTGGTTGGCGGCACACTCAGCTCGCGTTGTTTTGTTTTTCAGTCGGCGCACGTCGTTAATGGTTTATATGTTGATGACACATCTATCGATGTCTCTTATTGTGCCGCACAATGGAATTCGCTGCCAAGCGGGGTAGAATGGGCGTATATTTCAAACGCAGTACGCTGATATTTGATACTCGGGATGTACGCCTGTTGTTGAAGGGGAACACTCTCGGGTTAAAAATAACGGCGATGGACTCGTAACGCACAGCTTACATCCCCTTCAACGAAACCAGAACAGAGTTCCTTTTGTCCGAAAGCACGTTACGAGACTTGCATCACAACTGACAGTGAATCCGCGATGACGACACTTCTGCAGGCAAACACATGAACGACTTCTATTCCTGACACGACACTTCGCACACGCGGGGATGGAACAGCACTCAGTGCTACCAACCCACCCACAAACACACACAACCGCACTCGCCGGATTTCGCTGAGACCACGTCTTCACATTGCACGTCTTGTAATCACCACCTGCCGCGAACACATTTAAGAAATCACTGGTCACAAAGGTTCACGTCGCGGGTGATCACCCAACACGAAGTCTGGAAAGCGACCGCGAGGTGAAGCAGGCGAGAGTGATGGTGAGCTGTGGTGAGCCGCTGGGTCGACCGCATCTGCAGCACTGCCCGCACGCGATCGGCTCGTTGCACTCTCTTCCTGTAGCCACGCCCCCGTGCCGATACCGCCCAGCTGCTGATAAGACACGGCTATCTGCCAGTGCAAGCCCGTGCCTCCCCCGCTTGAGACGTCAGCGCATCTACGTGCCGACTTCGCCCCACGAGAACACTTCGCAGTAATCCGCACTCGAAACGATGGCAACTGTGACAGGATGCTGAACGAATCGAGAAGGTTGATGTCACCTTCACAACGGTAGCCGGGCGAGAAAGTCGTCGTTGCTGTTGTCGAGAAAATACGAGGACCACTTGGCACGGTTTCCAGAATACGTAATATTCTTGATCGTCAACAAAATTGCGTCATAACTGCACAGTCCAAGACAGGTTATTGGGTACCGGTGAGAACGTTACCTGCACGAGCGCCTTGATGGAACACTCATGGGTAGAGCAGAGCTCAGAAAGGCAATGTTTTTGTTGAAATTTTGAGATTATTGTAAAAACTAGGTCACTACTCGACAGTCCACCGGAAATTACGGAATTGAAACAGTACGTGTAGCTATATAATTATGCGTTTGCAACAGATGCTTGATGGGACGATTTTCTAGGATTCTAAATGTGGTACTGTGAAGTGTAGACAGCCTGTAGTCGTTAATTCAGAAAGGCAATAAAACACAAGATTCAATTTACATGCAAATCTTCTTCGTTGAGAAAATTAGGTCACCACCAGTCCAACTCAATCCAAGAAATGCGTGCTGTTAGCCAATGGAAGCGTGTGTTTCGAAGCGTCTAATGTTGCTGCCCTCTGGACAACAGTAATGTTTTTTAACAGCAATGTCCACAATCACTAGTCTCTAACGTCTTGTGGGTATACCACGAACTGACAGTTTATCACTTCGAATTTTCTGGAACTTCACCGTCACTGAGTGTCACCAGACAGAAACCATTCATTCCTCGTTCGGACAGTTGGCCTTCCTGCCACCCACCGGCCCGGCCAGTTCATTCCTTCTTCGACCAGTCTGATGTCACTGCTCCTTCACGTAGCAACGTCACACGGCTCTTCAGCTGGAGGGCCCCGCCAGAGGCAGTGGTGAGAGTAGTAGAGCTTCTCGTGCACCAGCGCGACTCAAACTGCGCGCAGGCCGCCGTCACCACTCACTAGCGCAGCTGCTGCTCCACACGCATCGCTCGCTGTCCGCCGCCGCGCGCCGCCGCCGCCACTGCCTCCGCCGCCGCGTTTAGCGCCCACCGCCGCCGCCGCCGCCTTTCGTCGCGCCTGGCGGCAGCCCCTTCCTCAACCAGCCGACACCCACAGCTACAGCACACCCGCGCGCCGACGCCCCGCCCGCGCCGTCAGTGATTCATTCGCCTTGAACCCCCCTTCCCTCCCCTTCCCACCACACCCCTTGCCGTTCTTCCCCTCCTCCCCGCGACGTTTCTCTTATTGTCTCCGCCGCCGCGTCTGCCAGAGGAGCGTGGTGCGCGTCCGCCGATTTGGTCGCGCCTGAGGTGCAGCAGGCGGCTCCCGGTGACTCTGCGGTCAACCTGCTTGTGTGTGTGTGTGTGTCAGTGAAAGCGCATGCGCATGTGTTGAAGAGTGTGCGAGTTAGGTGGGCGTAATGTGAGTGGGTGTGAAGAGAGGTAGATGGGGAGACAGAGAGACGAGTGTGTGTGTGTGTGTATGAGTGAGAGAGAGAGAGAGAGAGAGGGAGGGACAGAGTACGATAATGTGAGTAAATGTGGAGAGAGGGTGACAGCGAGAGGTAATGGAGAGAAAAAGAGAGAGAGGGAAGAGAAACAGAGGGAGAGAGGGAGAGAGTGGGCAGTGGCGGTGCTAGAGCGCGACTCGAGAGTGTGCAATCCGTAAAAAAAGTTCAGATCTTTCCTTACACGACGTGAATGGATGGAGATGCGCTTTTGATAGTTGATTTTGTGGCGATCTTATTGCGTTGCAGCAGATTGTTCTGCCGTTGCAGGCTAGTAGGTGTGGCGTATATGGCTACGTTTTCACACTGCGTCGTTTTCACACTGTGCAAGTATTGAAAAGTAATAAATATGAATGTAAGTATACAAAATGCGCGGTAAATGTATGTATGTGTGATCTTCGTTTATGTAAGATTTTATTGTTATAATGAGTTTAAAATCATATCTAACTAAAGGAAATTAAAGTTCGCTTACACTCAGCTGAATAGATACTAGGAGTATTTAACTTTATTTACTAAAATTAAATTTATTTACAAGTTAAATCACTTTTAATTTTAGTCTTTCTCTGTTAAGAAACATTTGTAAATAAGGATTATAAAATATTGCAGAGATTACTACCGTGTAAATGTTCAAATTAAAGGATAGACACAAAGGAAAAACTTTTCAGTTCGTTGTAAAAAAAAATATTTTTTTTTTCGCTATTGATAGTCACTGAACTGTCTAGCGCTCACCGAGCATTCCAGCATCTGTCTAATAGTCTATACAAGCTAAATATTAAAAAAATCAGTTGAATGGCGAATGTAGTTTACTAAGAGAAAACGAATTTTATTTATGTATAAAAGAGATGTACAATATCTGAAGTTGAATACTTTACGAGCGTTAAAGAATATCTCAACACATTTGGGACGTTATGCCCCTCGAATCTGTTGAATTTCGAATGGAATTTAGTTAGAGAAAACTAGATTTATTGTCATCAAAATGTATAATATCTGGTAAGTATTTCAGTTTCAATATCTAATAACATTGAAGAATACTATAAAATATTTAGGGAATTTTATCCGGGGAATCAGTTGAATATCGAATGGAAATTAATGAAATTATTTAATTAGAGAAAACAAATTTCATTAATGTAAAAAAAAGTGTAATATTTGATGCTGAATATTTCAGTTACAATATCTGATAGCATTGAAGAATACGAAATCATATTTAGGGCATTTTGCCCGTCAAATCAGTTGAATATAGAATGGAAATTAATTAAGTTTTTTAATTAGAGAAAACGAGTTTTACTTATGTAAAAAAAGAGATGTGTAAAATTTGATTGTGAATATTCCAGTGTCAATATCAAATAGCATTGAAGAATACGTAACGCAATTAGGGCGTTGCACCCTCTCCGCGCCCCAACCGCGCGTGTGATGCAGCGCACGCAACTCTGCAGCCGGAGGCGCCTCGGCGCGCCGTCAAGGACGAAGGGTCGCCGGGACTTAATTAAATTCTCGCGCGCGCGAGCTCGCGTGCGTTGACAAGTGTTCGCAACGCCGACAATGCGGCGAGAGACCGCTCTCTGGGAGAAAAGTCTGTTGCGCGGATGGCTGGACCTAGTTGTGATGCAGGATCTGAGCGGCGCACCGCGCGTCTTGCATGCAACACAGACCACGCCCTACCGCTTCGTTAGGGTGATATTTATGCCAAACCGGCCGGTGCGGGGTCGAGATTTTAATCCGTTGTTTCGTACGAGACAAGCCGCGGAGAGTCGAATTGAAAGGAGGTGGTGTCACAGACGCTGCATTGATTCCGTTCGAAATCCTCGTCGTTAGCGTGGCAGGAGATACAAACTTCTGACGAAACTGTTATCAGGCGGGTGACGGATGTCGACACAAACTCCATCTAATAGCTCGTTAAATTCTTTTAGATGCCTCTCATGCCACACAGTCGTCCTCGGTCGTCGGAAACTCCAGACGCCTGGCGTCGTTTTATGTGTAACACATGTCAAGCCTGCGCTCTCGTCACGCGCGCGTTGGCAAGCCTGGCGCGCCCCGCTCGTGGGAGGCTGACGCTGTTGCTCTCGCGACGCGCGACTCAGCGACTGTCACGGCGTGTTCACGCGTGTTTAGACAACCCGGGAGGTCGTTGAGAGAAATCCGGGCCGCGCTTGCATAACGCACCGCTCTCGACCTGATGGGCGGGCGCGGCGGTGGTATGGGTATGTGGGTGGGTGCGGGGAAACAGGGCGGCGCGGTCTGGTATGGGTCGGACCTGGGTTCGTACCGCGACGCCACCCACGTCGTCGCGAAACCCGATCCCGCACGATCTCGGGGCAAATCAAAGAGCAAAAGCGTCCCACGGGCGCGCCGCTGCCTCGGGCCTCGGCGCTGGAAGTCAAGAGGCTTCTCTGTGA